TTCAATATAAGCAGATTTCGTGCCATTACTGATATATATCGTATGTTAACCACACAGTCATCCGATAGCAACAATTTATGGCAGAGATTACGCAATTGTAATCAATTTAAGTTTTATGCAAACTATTTATTACTTCAATCACTGTTGTATTTATGGCTTATTATTAGTACAATTATATCAAAAAGTGCTTCGAGTGTATTATTACAGACATATATGCCTACAAAAGCCATACCTATTATTAACTCATTGGAAGATATCGTCAAAAACAAAGATTTGGTGATCGATGGCTCAGAAATGTTAGATTTAGTGAAAAACGAAACGTCGGCCGAAATTTGGGATACATTGAGCACAAGGATAGCTAAGAACCGGTCATCTGATAACAGACACGTCGATGAACTGACACCTAATGTCTTAACACAACTAATTACTGGTCAAAGGATACAATTGGATAGTAGTAATGATAATCACGAAAAACTTGTTATGTTTCCTAATTTCAAACTAGCGATTGGCCGACAAAAATATTTGCCAACTTATATGACTTATTTTATTAGCAAACAAATTCCTATCGCTCACAAAATAATTAAACTGTTATTAAACTAATTATTAATTATTTAAATAACTTAATATTTATTTAATAATTTTTATTATTTATTTGTTATTAGTGTTAAACGAATCATTGAGTCGGGAATACATACAAGACATTCAAGTATTGATGATATGAAAACTGGTTTTAGGGGTCGAATTAATTTTGAAAAAATAAAAGTTTGGAAAAATTTAGATAAATTGAGTCAAACTCTTAATAAGAAAACCAATGAATTTCAATTGAGTTTCAATGATTTAATACACGGATTATTTTTGTTGGCAATAATTGGTTATATCTTTTCTATAAAAACATTTTTAATTGAACTTGTTTATTTTTACAGTTTTACTAATATATTTTTAAAAATAACTGTATTGAATTTTAATTCACTTAAAATACTTATAAAAAATCACAAAATGTATAAACATTTATTTATTAGTAAATAAATTCATTTAAAAATTATTACGATTATTGGTTTTTATTAATGTTGATAAAAAGAGAAATTTCTAAAAAATTATCTATGAAATCTCATTTTAATTTTGTTTTTCTCAAATAATGTTATGTAATGTATGTAATGTAAATGTATATTATAATTTTTAATAATAACTAAATATTAAATAATATTAAAAATAACATAAATATTTAATTAGTAAAAAAATAATAAAATTACAAATGTTGTGTAAAAAGTATTTTTAATTACTATTGTTATTAATTGCTAAAAATAAATAAATAAATTGAATAAATATAAAAATGCAAAATTTCCAGAGACTTATATACACTTAATTGCAAATAATGCGGTTTAACTTAAATGTTTGTATTTTAATATTTAAAAATTTCTTTATATGTGTTTTTTATTATTATTTTTGAAACTTTATTAAATAATATTTTTTTATTCTAATTTTCACGAATTCCTGAAAGGAATACGTATATGCATTCTATAAGTCGGTCTGTCTGTCTGTCTGTCTGTCTGTCTGTCTGTCTGTCTGTCTGTCTGTCTGTCTGTCTGTCTGTCTGTCTGTCTGTCTGTCTGTCTGTCTGTCTGTCTGTCTGTCTGTCTGTCCCACGAGGACATAGGTTCGAAACCACTATCCGCTACAATTTTTTTTTGTTTTTTTTCTTATTTAAGTTTATTTTTTAGGAAATTGAAGAAAATGGTGTCCAAAAATTAATTAAAAAAATTTTGAATTTTTTTTGAATTTTTTTTTGAATTTTTTTTGATTTTTTTTTGAATTTTTTTGAATATTGATTTTTTATTTTTTTCGTTTTTAAGTTTATTTTTTAGGAAAATAATAGTTTATTTTGTAATACTGAATCATTTGATACCCCACATGACTATAGTTGTTTATTTTGTCATACTAAATCGTTTGATACTCTACATAACTATAGTTGATTTTATTTTATCATACTGAATTTAATTTTTAATTATGATTAGGAATTCGTGTGGAAATGCTTTCTAGCATTCTCAACTGGTTTTTTTTGATTTTGTTTGTTTTTGTAATCAATGTTATAGATATATACTGTATATATAACTTAAAATAGATTTACTATAATTTATTATATCAATAAAATGAAAATTTATGTAAAAACATTGCACTACTTGTGTTAAAATTATTTTTAGGAATATGCTATATTATAGTTTACTATAGTATAATATATATAATATAGTATAATACAAATTGCATTGTATTATACAATATATAAAAGTATAAAATACATACAATATTACATGTTATTTATATTATTAGTTTTTTTTAATATAAATTTAATCAAATAGTAAATTAATTACACTTTTAAAGCATTGTTAACCTTGCAAATTATCTTATAATTAAATAGTATTAAACATATAAGAAACTTCAAATTAAGATTTATCATAAAATGATAATTAATAATTTGTAAAGTATAAAATAATTAGCATTAATTATACATCTATAACATAATATTAGCAATGTATATAAAAAATTAGTAACTAAATTAAGTGAAAAAATCATTATAATTTACAATCAAGCATTACTATTCTTAATTATTTTTAATTATTGTAAATTAAAATAATTGTAAATTTATAATTGATATTGATTGATAATTATTAAAATTTTGAAATTTTATAGCTAATAATATTTATAAAATATAATTATTGTAATTAATATGTAATTTATTTTTCATGACATTTTAAGATATAATTATCTAAATATAAATAGTAACGAAAAGTTTTTTAATTAATTATTTGAAATCGTTATTCTCATAACAGAAAAAATAAAATAATTAATAAGTGATAGTATAATGTTTTTTTCTATTACACGTATATATAACTTAGTAAATGAAATATTTCAATATTATAAAATTATTAAACTAAATACATACTGTATATTTAACAAAATTAACAATAAGCCATAGTTAGCTATAATAATTTTTATACAATAAAACTATTTTAAAACATTTGTTTTATTTATTGTTTTTAATAAATTATTTGTAAACCTTTTGTTTTATTGCAAACTTCATCATATGTTTGGTAACAAAACATAACAATAGATAGTGAAACACATTTAAGACAAACCAAAAATCTATAAATAGTCAAAACATTTTACAACAATATTTTAGTCAATTTTTTATTTTGTATGTAAAATATAATGTCTCACAAAAAATTATTATCGTTTAGTTTGTTAATTGTTTGTCATTTTTTGCCAAATGCCTGGACCTATGGGGGACACGGGGGACACATATGGAGTGAAATGAATGGCGCGCCCGGCAGTCCGGGAGGCCCAGGAGGTCCCGGTGGTCCAGGAGGTCCTGGTGGACCAGGCGGACCTGGAGGACCGGGTGGACCAGGTGGTCCTGGAGGACCAGGAGGGCCTGGTGGTCCAGGAGGACCGGGAGGTCCTGGAGGACCAGGCGGACCAAATAACACTTGTGTAACACCTGGATTCTGTCAGGGATCAACTGACACATGTATCTGCCCGTGCAAAGATCAATGTGCCGCTCTCAGCAAAGATCCCTTCGGAGGAGACAATGGAAACGCATGTCCTACGTGTCCAACATTACCGGGTGGTCCCGTTCCCCCATCCCCTTCCGGCAATATGACTATTCCTGGAAAGTGTGTTATGCAGGTTATGCAGGCGGCTCTTATGTTTAAAGACGTCGGTTCCATTTTGGGCGCTATCCTTCAAACCTTACTCTCTGAGCTAACTATGCCTATCCTTTCAAATGTCCTCTTTGGCGTCAACAACGTTCCCGGAGCAGTCCTTCCCCTAACAAACACCCTGTGCTATATCTTGGGTCTCGTACTGCTGTTACTGCAAAATCTTAGACTGTTAGGACTATTGGGACCGGGAGGACTACTCGGAAATTTATTAGGAGGCATAACGGGTTGAGTTATGTTTGAACACAACATATTTTGTTTCATTTATATAAATTATTTACAATTTACACACAAATAGTAGCAAAACTTAAGTACATTATTTTACTGCAAAACTGTATATAATATTAAAATTTTTTGTTCAAATTAATAAAAGTATTTATTTATTTTGGGTATTACAATGAAATTATTTATATTATTAAGTTTTAGTAATGTTATCGTGTATTCAATTTCAATATAATTCTGAATAAATAATTTTAAAAAATATTATTTTCAAGTTATCTATAGTTTTATAATTTACTATTATTTTATTGAATTAAATCTAGTTTATAGACATAAATTTGTTTTCTTTTATAGAGATATTAGTTTAATTTAATTATATTATAGTATATTTTATTTATTTTTTGTTAATTATTAATTAAAATTATTTTTTTATTTATAATGTTAGACAATATTTGTTAATTAATATAATTGTTGAATTAAAAAATTTAATATATTCTCATTTTAATAAAATTTTATTAACTATATAAAAATGATTAAATTTATGAATACAATGTGTACTACACATGATATTGTTTATTTAGTATTTTGTATTTTATCAATACTACTGTAGTGTCTGAGACTTATTAATATCATTTATTAAAAATATTTACTTAAATAAGTTTTTGAACAATTTACTGTTAGATTTATCATTTTATGTTATCATTCACATGTTATATTATAAAACAATTTGAGCCTGGTTACACCAACACTTAAATGTGAGAAAGTAGAAATTAGTTATTTATAGAGCAAAAAAAAATAATTATTTGACCATGGCATTTTCAAGATTAGTTACTAAAATTATATGCTTTTCTACGAACATTAAAAAATCAATGCTAAGTTATATAGATAATTAAAGTCAACATGATCAAATCATTAATTAGTTAAATGCAAAATATACTGATCTATATTTTAAGTGATACTTCAAATATTATTATTGATATTAATCACAAATTAGATGACAGGTATATAAAGATTCAGTAATTAAGTGACAAAAATCAATCAAAAATCAAATCTTTTTGTTGTCAAACAATGTTTGCTATAGTATTAGCATTTCTACTGATCAGTGGTGCCATTGCTGTACCGGTGCCTCAGCAAGAGATTGAGAGTCAATGGAAACTATTTAAGGTAGAGATATATGAAAAGTAATATTATTTAATTTGTTTAAATACCTGTCCCTTATTCTTATAGCAACAATTCAGAAGTGGTTCAGATCTATACACTACAGAAGAGGATGAAGCCTACAGACGTACCATCTTTGAGGACACCTATCGACAAATAGTACGGCACAACAATGAGGCCGATCAGGGTTTGCATACATATTGGATGGGTATTAATCAGTTCTCAGATCTAACAACTAAAGAATGGGAGAGACAATGGCTCAGTTCAATCATCACATCCAATGTGTCCTCTGAATCAATTGAGTTTAACGGAGACCTACCTTCTAGTGTTGACTGGAGAAACAAAGGATTGGTGGCTCCTATCAAAAATCAAGGACAGGTATATATATATATATATTAATTTCTAATAAGTAAAAAATATTAATTATATAATTTCTTGGAAATAGTGTGGCAGTTGTTGGGCATTTGCTGCCGTCGCAGCAGTTGAGGGACAGTACGCTAAAAAACACGGACACATTCAGACTTTGTCGGAACAAAACATTGTTGACTGCAATCATCAGACAGATTGTCAACGCGGCGGCAACTCTGAGATGGCCTACAATACCATCACCCGAGAAGGTGGTATCGAAAGCGAACAGGACTATCCGTACACCAGTGGCCGCACCCAACGGGTGGGCACCTGTCGATTTCAAAGAGCTCTAAGCAAAGCAAATATTCAACGATTCAGCTCAACATCGGGCGAGACAGGTATACAACAGGCTGTAGCCAATGTTGGACCCATTACTGTATATATTGACGCTTCGGGCAACGGTTTCCGGAACTACCGATCCGGTGTGTATAGCGGTCCCTGTAGTTCAACTCAATTGAATCATGCGGTGACAGCAATCGGTTACGGCACTGAAGGCAGTCAACCCTATTATATCATACGTAACTCGTGGGACACCACTTGGGGTGATCGAGGATACGTCAAGATATATCGCGGCAGAAACACGTGTGGCGTAGCCACTGAGGGTACCTGGCCTTTAGGTGTCAACTAAATTACATACATTGTTAGTCATACTATTGTTAATAATTAATTGTTGTTATTATATTTGTTAAAATGTTTGTTTGTAATATTAAAGTGTTTTTCTTAACATTTATTCTAATAATAAAAGTAAATTTTTATGTTATTATAATTTAATTTCAATAATTTTTTTAAATATTTCATATAGTTTTAAGCAAAATATTAATAAAAAACTATTAATAGTATCTATTAATTATTAGTTTTATTTAATAGTATTAAATATTTAATAATATGCAGTTTGTTTATTAAAGTTATAATTGTACTGTAGATATACAGTAAATAAACTTCATTAATAATTATGTTATAGTACCTGTATATCAGGGTTGTTAAAGGCTATCGATTTCAGGAGGGGGTGTATAGGGTGGGGTAAAATGGCAAAAAACTCTAAAAAGTTTGGGGGTATAGGGGGGGGTGAAAATTTTTTATTGCATTTTTAAACGACAATTTTTGTCAAATTTAAGTAAATTCCCATTAAATTCTCAATAAATTAACTAATAAAAATAGTCCCAGCTTAATTTCTCAATACTCGAAATGTTTTATAAAATTAATATTTATTTTTACAAAAATTTTAAAAAATAAAAATTGCATAAATATATATATCGATATATATATATATATATATAACTCTTTAATTATAATATTTAATTATATTATATATAAAAAACAATTAAGTTTTTATTGTTTTGTTATATATATATTACGATATTATTTAGTGTAAATAATATTAAATAGATGTAATTAAGTATTTTTATCTATTTATTTTGTATACATAAGTTATTAATTTATATTAAAACTAATTTAATATTTAGTTATTTGTTTAATATAAAATTTTACGTAGATTATAAAAATTTTCGGCGCCGAACATTGGTAGGGGGACCCATAACTTTTTGACTTCACGTCAGGGAGGGGGTAAGATCCAAAAATTCTCAATCTCAGGGGGTAATAAATCTTACCCTACTCCCTTTAGCAACCCTGCTGTATATGTAATAAACATACTTTATCGTATTTAATTTAATTTTTAAAATTTTTTATGTATGAAAAGTATTTATATTTAAATATAAATAGTGTATTGTATACTGTATTTTATTTTAACAATAGTTATATACTTTATTTTGAAATAAAGCATATTTATCCACATTATATTATACTTTATATTATATTTTATTCAATTAATACAGTATACTGTACTTTACTATAATAAGTGATAATTTATTTTATTTTGATTGATGGCACACCTGTTTTATTTATTTTAAATTTGATAAATAGTTGAATACATAAAAATAATATATAAACATATTAAATATTTCTTTATATATTAATTTTTTAAATATTTTTGATAAAAATATATATTGTAAATTGTTATTACTAATTAATTGACTAAAGTAAAATTATTATTATTTTATATAATATCAGATACAATTGGAATATAAATTAATTTAATTTAATTAATTATAATTAAATGATAAATATATACAAATTAATATACATTTAGTTACAAAACTAATTTAGTTGACACCGGTTGGGTAGAGAGCATAAGAGGCGACACCGCATTGGTTATCATTATTTCTGGCCATTTTCATGTAACCTCCGTCTCCATAGACCGTTCCCCACGAGTTTTTAATCAGCCAATAGTCCTGTCCGTCTTCATTGCCGTAGCCGACAGTAACCACTCCGTGATTCAATTCACTACCGCACTCACCGGAGTCGTCAACAAATACACCGTCCAAATAAAACCTGAATCCCGACGCCGAGGCATCGATACCGATGGTCACCGGACCGACTGTTGCAACTGCTTCCTGAAGGGCCGATTCGTCGCCTTCTGTGACGTTGACATAACCAGTGATTGAAGCGCCAGAATATTTCTGTCTATAATTGCAACGACCGACCCGTGCATAGTATGGATAGGAAGACTCGGTGTCGACACCGCCCTCTTTCATCACAAACTCCATAACCAAATGCATGAAACCACCGCTTTCGCAACTATCCATCTCATCCGAGATGGGAGGTATGCAATCAATAATGTTTTGCGGCGACAATCGCACCAGTCGTCCAGTTTTGATAGCATGTTGGCCTACAGTTCGGGTAATAAGATATAAAGTAATCTGTGGTTTCATTTAATATATATTTAGCTTACTTTCAATAGAGTCGATACTACTGAATGCAAAACATGAACCGCACTGTCCCTGATCTTTAACAGCCGTTACGACACCTTTTTCACTCCAGTTCACCGATTCGGGCAAATCCTTAACATTAACTTTACTTTCGACTGATTTTCGGTATTCATTTTTCTTCAATGGTATTGCTTTCATATTCAAATAACGCCGATACTCATCGTCGGTCAGGTCGGCAAACTTGTTGAGAGCCAACCGATATTTATGTTGACCACTGGCCGCTTCGGCATTATGTTTCAAAATCATGCGATAGTTTGTCTCAAATATCTGACGGCGTATCGCCTCTTCATTTGTGTCATAAAATTCAATTGATTTAAAGTTTCTCTAAATAAGTTACAGTAATGTCAATAATTATTCAATTTTTTTATCTAAAACATTGTGTATTTACTTTGTATTGTTGCCATTGCTGTTCAATTTGGTCATCGGTAAGCATTGGCATACAGTTAACCGCTGCTAATAATGTCAATAAAGTTATTTTAATTAACATTTTTGATATTAAAAAACTTATCAAATATATCTTATTTATATTTATTTATCAAACTAAACAAATAAATAAATAAATATTCAACTTAAATCTAATTCAAATATTTGCTATTTATATCTAATTTTATGCTTAACTTTGTCAATATTATAACTATTGTGAAATTAAGCAATAGTTCAATTGGCATAAAGTAATAATAAAAATATTTTATTGTCAATGATTATCAATTAATGATAATACAATGCGTGGACCAAACATTGCGTAAAACAAATATATAAATAATATATACCTAAAAATTGTTTTAATTGTCATAAGACATAAATCAGTCACTGAAAACATGATTTTTTAAATAGTTTTAACACTTTTATGAATTTTTGCTTAATATAATGTAAAGATTCATAATTTTAGATTATTATTTACGAATATTTTTAATCAATTAATTGCAAAATATACTTATTAATAGACATTATTGTGATATCACGTAATATCAGGTAATATTATAAACTATAGCAAACTATACAGTTTATGATTAGGATTTGTTTAGCTTAACTGTGATAAGACTGTCATTTTAAAAAATAATTTAGATATTTAATATTATATCAAAAATAAAATAGTATTTCATGTCATTTTATACTTAAAAATTATATAAATTAAATACAGGTTTATACTTATTCATATAGACTTAAAGTACAATACTTAAGGCATATCTATTGTGTTAGGTTTATGCAAAAGTGTTAATTATATTACTATTATTAATATTTTATGGTCGAAATGTTAAAATTTAATATAGAGATGTTTTTAATTAGTTTAATAAATTTATTTTTAAAATTAGCATAAAATTATTATTATAAAAGTTAATATGTTTAGTTTTAAAATTGTAAACATTATCATAAAATTATAAACATTTAATAGAATTAAAAATAAATTTTAAACTCAAAACTAAAAAAAAGTTTTAATAAAATCTATTGTATTAATGTTTTGCTAGTAATGTCAACAACTAATACTGTATATAAAAAATAATACCATTTAATAAATAATGTAAATCAAGCAAAAAAGTCTTAAACAGGTGATAGAGTCGATGCTATTAATTTCAAATATCTGGTCAACAATACGTTTGACTTAAAAGTGACCAAGGGCAATGTTGTTGATAATTTTAAACTATAAAAGATTGTAATTGATTATTTTTTAATTAATTTTATCATTGGCCAGATATAGCAGTTGACTATTTTTAACAGTCGACTGTTTATTATCTGGCCAATCATATTAAATAAATTAAAAAATAACCAATTACAATCTTGTTCATTTTAAAATTATCAACAACATTGCCCTTGGTCACTTTTAAATCAAACGTATTGTTGACCACATAATTGAAATTAATATCATCGTCGCTATCATTGCCGTCGCAGCTGTTTAAGACTCTCTCTCTCTCTCTCTCTCTCTCTCTCTCTCTCTCTCTCTCTCTCTCTTTCTCTAAATCAAGTATTTACCAGCAAATCACTGATAACCAGATATTCAATTAATAAACATTTTTAATAATAATTTTTTAAAATCAACTTTAATTAAATTAATTGTAAAAATTTTAATTTGATAATTAATAATATCAGAATAAATATAATTTAAAAAATAATATTATAAATATAAATTTTATTATTTAAAATAATAATTAAGAATTATATAAAATCTTATTAATATTTATATTTCATAAAATATATTCAATTTTAAAATCATAAGATTACTAAATAGGATATAAGTATATTATTTTAATATTATTTAAATCTATGATAATATAAGACAAAAGATGATACAAATACTGTATAATTACTACAGTTAGTCATTAAAGTAAAACATAAATCGACATAAACTGTATAAATTCAACAGACATTGAAATCAATGGTCATAATGTTATAAAATATATTTACATAAAAACTAGTATTATTATATACAGTATTTTCTTTAAATAAAATATTTTAGACCAAACAAGTATTACTCAATAAGGAAAAATACCGGCGCTCTGTCAATATAACTACCGATTCATTGTTAGGCATAATATTAGACTTAAGAAATCTGTATTTAGGTGTCAATCAATTAGCCAATTGGACTCAAGAGGAATATCGACAATAATACTGTATTCAATATTATAACTTTTAAAATCAAACCAAATTCTACATTAAAAAACTTTACTAAAAATGAATTACTGACTCAAACACGCGATAACTCATATTAAAAATATAAAAGATGTAATCATTTTATTTAATTAAAATTTGTTAATTTACACATAAAATTAGATATTTTATGAACATTTTCAGATATTATCTATGTATTAATAATCTAATTCAATATTACTTTTTTGACAATTAAATAATGTATTTATTTGTTATTAATTTATAAACTGCAATAACTGTTGGACATTTAGTACTATATTTAATGCTATATATTTTTATTATTAAGATATAATTGAAAATATGCAGTTAAAAATGTATTAATAAACAATATATTATTAATAAAGATTGAAGATTAAAATAAATCATCTGGTTTAATTATTATTAATTAAAGTTAATATTTTACATTTTAACTGTATGATACAAAAAAAATAATTAATTAAAAAATATAATTTATGGATATTAATTGTATGTTTAATTTAATTACTCATATCATATTTGGCGGTAAATTTCTATTTATTTATTATTAAACATTTAGCGATAAATTGTGTCATCTATTTCAAGAATAAACAAATAATTTTATTTATTTAAGCAGTTTTTAATTGATAACAATATATCTAAAAATAATTTCATTGCTAATAATGAACACACATTAACTAAGTAATCAATTATGAAATATATCGAAAAAAGTTTATTAACTTTAACTCATTTGTCTACAGTATATGATGTCAATTATCTCAGCGATATTAATGTTTACATTAATATTATTTTATTAATTTTTATACAGTTTTATTATGTATTAAAAAATATTACATAAAGTCATGTGTTATTTGTTGTCCTTAAAAATTTAGACTTTATATGTATTAATTTAATATCCGAAATACTTTATCATATGTTTATTATTAATATGTTTGACAATGAAATTTTAATTAGATATTTATTAAGATAGTTAATTGCTTTGTTCACAAATTAGTATATATAAGTTGATTGAAAATTTGACATAGCTAACATTTCATAAAAAGAGTAATTATTATTAATTATTATAAAATATAACAATTAATTATACATTTGATTGTATTAAAGATATTTATACATAACTTTTTTGTAAACTAAAAGAGTTTTTAAAAATGCAACAAATAATTGCATTGATTGTATTGATTGGCACTGTTATAGCCAGTAATATAACACCTGAAGAAATTGATATTCAATTTAAAGAATTTAAAGTATAGTTTTAATTATTATTTTGATTAAATTGATTATTATTTATTGTATTAAAACTGTTTTATTATTTGAAGACTACATTCAACCGAAACTATTCAACCGCTGAGGAAGAGGGCAAACGTCGTGCAGTATTTGAGTTCAATTATAATCGTATATTAGATCACAACTCTGCCGCCGACGGAGGTCTTCATTCGTTTAGATTGGGTGTCAACCAGTTTGCAGACCTGACTAACGATGAGTTCAAAAAACAAATGAATGGTTTCCGTCGTAAGAAGCGAACACTCGGGACACTCAGCTATAAGGCCGACACCAAACAAGTATTGCCAGAAACTGTTGATTGGCGTACCAAAGGTGTGGTGACGCCTATTAAAAATCAGGAACAGGTATTTAATGTTTTAATATTACATCAATTTGCAAAAATTTCTACAAAATTTTAATTTTTTACTGATTCATAGTGTGGTTCTTGTTGGGCATTTTCGGCTGTGGCCAGTATTGAAGGACAGCACGCGTTGAGCACTAAAAAATTGGTCTCACTTTCGGAACAAAATCTAGTCGACTGTTCATCAGCTGAGGGCAACCAGGGTTGCAATGGCGGGCTTATGGATCAGGCGTTTGAATATGTTATCAAAAATAAAGGTATTGACACCGAAAAATCCTATCCCTATGACGGTATCGATGAAAAGTGTCACTTCAAACGCAAATCGGTCGGCGCAACCGTTACTGGTTTTAAGGATATCCAGTCGGGCAGTGAAGCTTCACTACTGTCAGCAGTGGCTAATGTGGGACCCATTTCTGTGGCCATCGATGCCTCGTCCTTTGAATTTCAGTTGTATAAATCAGGTGTCTATTATGATACCGAGTGCGGTAACCAACAGGAAAACCTCGATCATGGCGTCACTGCTGTCGGATATGGAGTACAGGACGGCAAAGATTATTGGTTAGTAAAGAACTCGTGGGACACGACATGGGGTCAAAAGGGGTATATATTTATGTCGAGAAATAAGGATAATCAGTGCGGCATCGCTACCGACGCTAGTTTTCCTACTGGAGTCAAATAAACTGATGTTTAGTTTACATCTATTTATGTCAAGTTTATTAAACATTAAAAGCAATATATTACTACAATTATAACTGAATCGTTATATTATTGCATATATTTTTTTAAATAAATTAAAATCTTGTTAATATTATTAATATTTATATGTTAATGTTAAAATATTATTAATTGTAAAACTTGTCATAATATTGTTAATAATAAAATAAATTAAATTTCTTTTATTAAATAATTGTAAATGAATTTTTTATATAATTAATTTTACTTTATTTTTATATAATCAGTTTGTTGTGAAATTCAATCTTATATATTAAATTTGATTATACATTAAAAAAATGTCAACCAAATGGCGTACACATGTAATTATTTAAATAATTCATATAACATGTTAATCATAAATAAACTATTAATTATTATATGTATAATTACAACAACTTGCACCGTACTATTAATTAATGGTGATGTCAAATGTGGTGTTCCCGTCAAATCACGTATTCACGGAAGAATGCGAATACTTAACGGTGTGAACGCCAAACAGGGTCAGTACCCGTGGGTCGTACACATATCCATCAAAAGTAAAGATAAATCGGGTTATATTGAGCACGACTTATGTGGCGGAACCCTAATTAATAACAAATGGGTTCTCACGGCTGCCCATTGTTTTATGTCATCTATGAAGGGACAGCTCAAACAAATCAAAATGACTTTAGGAGAGTGGGACACAACCATTATGTCTGATAATAAAATCAAAACTTACGGCGCAAAGGTGTGCATCAGTTTTACAAATAAATTGTCCCCAATTTACTAGCTTTTACTTATGATTTTGATAATATAGTATATTTCCCGGCACCTAACCTTATATTATTATTATTATTATAATTTATATACACAACTATACAATAGTATATTTGCTCAGGTAGTAATTCATGAAGATTTTAGTGACCAAACCTATGAAGATGACATAGCATTGATTAAAATGAACACTACGTTAGACTTTGAGCGCAAACACAAACAGTTTCGACCGATATGTATGCCTAAATCAAACCGATATTCCATAACAAATCGTATGTGTGAAGTGATCGGTTGGGGTAACACTAAACAGGGCGACGAAAAAGATCCCAAATTTGCTGATAAACTACAGATGGCTAAAGTGCGCATTCATAAGGGAAAAGACTGCCAGAAGGCATGGAGTAACTCTGCCGGCGGCTTCTCCGCATCCAAACATCTCTGTGCCGGCGATGATGTCTATACCTTTTGTTCGGGCGATTCCGGCGGACCACTCATGTGTAAGACTTCTAAAGGACGGTATATACAGTACGGATTGGTGTCGTATGGCGTACAAGAAATGTGTGGATCTAAAGAACCGGGAGTTTACACACGTGTATCACATTATAAGGATTGGATCGAAGAAAAGATTAATAGTTAATAAAAAAAATCAATTTGTTTTTGTGTTTTATGTAATTATTATTATTATTGTTATTATTGTTATTATTATTATTATGAATTAATGATCAATTATAGCGGATAAGTTTTTTTTATTATTATAAGCAACGAAAGTATTTGTATTACATAATTTAATATTTAATTTAAAACATCATTTAATAATTATAAATTTTTTATTTTTAAAAATATTGTAGATTAATCATTGATTGCGGCAAAATTGTTAAAGTTTTTAGTAATAGTTTTTTATAAAAGTGCAAAAACTATGGTTTTTGAATATTTAAAAAATTTTAAAACAGTTTATAAATGTGAAAATTGCAAAATTTTTGTTTCAACTTAATTTTATATTTTAATATCGTCGAGACATTCCTATGAAAAATATTCAAATATTTAATTAAATTATAAGAAAAAAATAAATTATTTACTAAAACATACAATATATTGATTCCATTTATTATTTTGATCATGTTCAGTCCATTTTAATGATACTTGATTATAACAATTTAGTACCTAAACAATTAATATGTTAACAAAATGGTATAATAACTTAATAAGTTTAATACAAAATTAATGATTAATATTTTTATTACTTGTATATTGCCATAGAAATCACAAGTGGACGGCTTGTTATCAATTTTGAGTTTAGCGGCAGATCGACAATCATTCAATACTTTTAATAACTAAATCATTTGATTGAAAAAAAAAACTTAAATCAACTTTTATTTGATGAAAGTATAATCATATATTTAAATTAAATTGTACCTCGGTAGAATTTTGGTTGCATTTTTCAATAGCATTGATATGATTTTGGTTTAGTTTCATATCACATAAATGTTCAAAACCATACACTGAGACAGCTTTCATAACACACCACTTATGGTTTTTTTATTTCATAAGATATTAATACATGAAATGTAAAGTATATTTATATATAAATAGTATAAAAAAAATAATTTAATTAAATATATTTACCTCAAAATCATTTTCTACGGCATCAATGGCATCAAAATCTTCGTCGACATTATTGGCCATAAATTTTTTGCCATAAATTTTACCGGTTTTATTGAACATACAGTCCATTACCTAAAATATAAAAACACTTAAGTTATTGAAATTATAGTATTTATATTTATATAAAATACTTTAAAGTCCTGTTCATTTTGAGTATAGGTGCATATCATTGGTTTATCATTTGGTAACTTATAGTTTGCATTATTTATCACTTCTTTCAAACAAATTTCTAACAATTGCTTTCTCTAAATATTTTTGAAAAAATATATAAATAGATATAATTTGTTTAAAACAATTTATCTTAACTTAAATAACAATTATAACCTCTGGTCTCATAAGTTTATCGCAATTAATTAGTGCTTGTGTTTGCTGTTGAGTGGCATTTTGACCGCAAGTTTTGCGACCCGTGACTGTCCAGGAGTATATACTCACACTATTGACAGCGTATATCAAACCGGATAATAATATCAATAATATTATTTTCATTATTTTCAATAATTATTTTTTACTATTATTAACACTGATCTCGTTTCGTCGATAACTAAATAATATATTAAAATATAAAATAATGTATAAAGTATTATAAATAAAATATTTTATTGTGTTTTTTTAAATAAATAAATAAAGTATATTATGTTTAATCAAGAGGTGTTATAATTACGCTTTTACAATCAATTCAATGAGTATTAATCATTAATTTGTTTGTAAAACCAAAAAAATATGAGTTAAAACTGTAATACTTTTGAATAGTTTTTATTATTAAAAATTTATTTACATTATATTTTTTATATAGATTTAAATTGTAAAAATTCAATCAATATTTTCATAGTTAATTATACTTGAAATTTTTAACAAATATACATTTATTAAATACTGTATAAATATTTATTTAGAAAAAGTGCAAGAATAATTTAAAAATCTAGTAATAATACAAAACTACAATAGTGTATATCAAAACGATACATCTACATTATTTAATCAATTAAAATATACTATAATATTATAATATAATAATTATTAATAAATATTATTATAATAAAATATCATTATTCACAAAACTTACATTAAATTTGATATAAAATTATTGGCTAAATATTTTTTTTATTAAATGTTATTACAGGTGTTTAAAAATCTTGACAAACAAAATATAACAATAAATAGCTTATATTGAATATTATTTTTATTTAATATATTAATATAATTTTAATAATAATATACAAATTGTTGTGAAATAAAGACATATAATTAAGTAGTGAAACTACAACAATTAATTTTTATTTATAAAGTAATATTACATGTATAAATCAATAATATTCATCACAATAATTAACATTCAAGTAAAAATAGTTATTTATGTTATTGATTAATTTACATATATATTAATTAATTATATGTTATAATAATTATTATTTATTAATTAATTCGTTTTATAATATTTTAATATAATTATTCAATATTCGTATAATACAAGTTCTAATTAAATAATATAAAATATTAGAAATTTATAAAATATAAAAAATTATATTTAAAATAATTTTAGTTAAATGATAGAAATATTAAATTATCATAATCATAAGTCATTTAACTAATTTCTAGATGAGTAAAACATATTTATCACTTTTAAAACAATGCCATAATTATAATTATGGTGAAACACAATTAGGTGATCCAACAAGTAATTTATCATTTATTGTATTTGGATTTAGTAAAGTATGTACAGTATTGACAATTTAGTTAATATTTGTAATTTTTTTAATTAATTGATTATTTTATTAAATTAATAATTTAGTCAATTTGTTTGTTTGAAAATGAAATACTGAGTGCATTAACTATTGGTTCATTCAATAAGTTTAATGTTACGCTTAGGATATTAAAACCACAAATAAACACTCAAACATATATGGAAAATAATCAAGTAAAATATTTTTATAATTAATAAATGTTAATATTTTAAAATTATTATTTTTATATTATAAATTATTATTGATTTATATAATAAGGAAGTGGATCTGGCACTGACCCCATGGGGAATGGACAAAAATTTTATGACATTCGCAAATGGACAATGGTTTAAGCAAGAGTACAATATGGTTATTCTCAGTGCACTTAATTATAATGGCAATGAGTTAATGACCATGCTTAATGTTTTCTCATTAACAACATGGATGCTAATATTATTATCAATACTGTTTGTTTCAATTATACAATATATTTCATTCAAATTTTATGTTGATAAAAGTATATATCAATAATAATTATAAATCTATTTAAAAACATTTAATTAGTTTTATTATTCAAATTTAGATTACCAAGTATACTTATTAAATATTATTTTTGAAACTTTAAGTAATTTATTAAATCAATACAAATCAAATCATTTGCCTGAAATAATGTATATTATTTGGTCGCTTTCGGCACTAATATTGTCCACATTTTTCTGTAATGTTATTCTCTCATCAATTGTTAAAATAGATTTTAAAAACATTAATTCATTGGAAGAGTTAGTATATAATACCGATTCAAAAGCGATTGTAATAAATCAATCAAACATTTATTGGGAGTATAAAAATCATTTTGAATACAATACTTATCTTTATAAATATCTATATATTTTATGGAAAACAAATCGAGTTGTGTTTGTAGACGATGAACACATTGATAAAAGTCAATTGAAAGTAATTTTCTAATAAATATTAAAATATTTTAATTTATAATTATTTTTATAAATTATTCTTTTAATTTAGAAAATTTTACAAAAAGTTTCCGACAGAGAACTGGTATATTTGAGAGACGAGTCAACACTTTGGGAACGTATGACAACTAATCAAGAGTTGGGACTATCACTGAGTGAACGAAAATATTTTTCAAATCTATTGGGACATCCCGTTAATAAAGCGTACACTAAATCCAGACAAATTGTTTTAAAAATGTATAAATTATCATAAAATTTATAAAGTATTGCTATTATATCTTAAATTAATAATAATTTTGAGCATAGGATCAAAATTATGGTCGAATCGGGCATTAATGTAAATTGTCAGCTTAGGTATAGTATTTCAACAAAAATGGACGGTGCTAAAAAATTGAGACACCAGTTAAAGTATAGCAACAAATATACAGAAAGATATTTAAGGTTTTATCAAATTAATCAAAATGGACAGGGTGATCAAATTATTGAACTCAAATTTATTGCAAATTTATTCATTGGACTAATCATTAGTTGTGCCATAAATTTATTTATATTGACACTTGAGCTTGCTTATTTTTATTTAGACGTGGTTCACATATTATGTTCGCACTTTTAAGAAATCTAGACCCCCTTCTTCCCCCATGTTCGCAATTGTTCGCATGTAATCATTTAAAAAAATTACGTTCGCATGTTCCTAAGCGCTACTCCCCCCTCACCCACAAGAAATAAAATATCTAAATGCGAACGTTCTTAAAGTCTCTACCCCTCCCCTACCCCTCGTTCTCAAAAGTTCGCTTTACCCCCCCTCCCCTCAAGTGCGAACGTAATATGTGAACCACGCCTTATCAAAATAAAACTTTTCTAAATAATAGTATTAATAAATAATATTATTGTTATATTAATAAAATGTAACAAATATCATTGTTATCATAGAAGTTAAACATTATTGTTTTAAACATTAAAAATTTATATAATTAATAGTACTGGTAAATTATTTTATGCATTATTGTGTAATTTTTAGATTTTTTCACATTAATAAAATAATTTTACTAAATAATCATAAAATACTATTTTAGATATGAGTTATTTTGTGTATAATATTGATATGGTTTCGATGACTAACAGCCTCACAGACACTTTCATCAACACTAATGCACTTTCTTATAGTCATTGATATCAACAGTGATGTAAACGATGCGAAAGATTTTGGACGAGAATAAGGATACCCGAGATTTGTGGGAAAATTGTTTTTTTATTATGTAATTCAAAAAATAAATAACTGTATGATATTTCAAATATTGTATTTATAACTATTTAATTTACCAGTAATATTATTTTTTTATTACTATATAAGCTTATAAAGTAACGGACATTGAAACTTAATATTGTGTAATTTTGTTTTAATAATTTAAAACATTTATTATATTTAAACATCTATTGGATAGACGTTTCTACAATACTATAACATTCAACTATTATTATATTTTCAGTTTTTATATTAATAAAAATTGCAATTTAAAATGACATGAATTTTTTTTATTATCAATAATTTAAGTTTAAGTTGTTGACATTGCAAAAATTCATTATAAAACTACCTTTATAGTAAAATAAGCACATGTATGTAGTATACTATGTAAAATATTTAGTACCTATATTAATGTATACTATTTACTGCTTATAGATTAATAACTACCTGTGCATTACTGGTAAGTTTAGTTTGTATACATGATTTTTATTACCTGAAAGGTTACTATTGGATATTATCTGTTAAACTTTAGGTATTAACAAATATTTTAATCAATTTATTTATTTACAATATACTATTGTAATATCACAGATACTTATAGATAAATATTAAAATGTCTTTTATTGTTACTGGGGATTGAAAATTCACAAAAAAATCAATATTATATTTATTAAAAATAATTAATTCGTTAATTTATTTTATGTCATTCTATTGTTTTGTGTTAATACATAATTTTATTATTAATTAAATATTATATAATATTTGAAATATAAAGGTATATAATATAAAAATATTTATTATATGAAAGTATTTTTAATGTTTAAAATTAAATAATCTGTAAAATTGCGTTAAATATATAAAATAAAATTATACTATAAAAATATATATATATAATATACTTTTGTTTGACAATTATAACAAATAATTAACAATACAATACTTAATTTACTACCAGTGGTGACAATTGTGAACAATTATGTCTTTGTCGGGCCTAAAGAAACAGTACAATAAAGCCAATCAGTTTGTGAGCGAACGTATCGGCGGAGCGGAGGCCACAAAATCTAGCGATTATTTTGTTGAGTTGGAAAAGAAAACAGATATCACTCAACACGTGGTCCATGAAATGCTCGACAAAACCCGAGACGTGTTATATCCGAATCCCGCATTGAGAGCCCGAGTGGCGGTCAATACAAAATTAATGGGTAACAAAAATGACCGATATGTGCACCCGGAGCTTGAGTTGGCTGACAGTATGTACCGATACGGAAAACAGTTCGATAATGATAATACTTTCGGTCAAAGTTTAGTCGATATGGGAGAGACACTCAAAAAGTTGACTGACATTAAGTACAGTTTTGAAGATCAAATAAAAGACAAGTTTTTGGATCCATTAATGCGTTTGCAATCAAATGAACTGAAACAATGTCAGTCTCATCGCAAAAAACTTGAGTCCAGACGTTTAGACTATGATTGTCACAAACGAAAGAAACAAAAGGGCGGAAATGTTTCGGAGTTGGATCTGAAACTATCAGAAGACAAGTATAACGAGTCATATGAGTTGGCATCCATGGCAATGGAGAACCTGATGGCACTCGAAATGGATCAATTGATACACATGACTGCTCTGTCTGAGGCACTCTATGATTATCATATCAAGTGTGCAGATGTATTGAAAAATGTTGTCAATCACTTGAACAGTAAGTCTACGCCATCCACACCATTGCAAACACCTATTTATTCAAAACCCAATACATATCCCGATCTGTGGCCAACAACTGCTCAAAAATCACAGACATTGCCAAAGACAACTTATTGTCCAAAACCGACAACTTATTCTCAGAAACCAACTGATCCTCCAATGAATACAGTAAACCAATACAGAGGTGTTGTTGAGTCAGTTAAGTTCATCAATAAACAAAACAATGTAGTGATGGGCGCTTCCAAACCATCCATAAGAAATAAACCGATTTTGCCGACGACAGCAAAACCAATGTTTGTGCCAAAGAAACCCAAGTGTCGAGCGTTGTATGACTTTGACGCACAAAATGCCGATGAATTGACTTTAAGAACAGGAGATATCATTGAACTGAACAAACGAGTCGACGATAACTGGTTTGAGGGCACACTTAACGGTCGCACCGGACTATTCCCTACCAATTATGTCGATGTCTTAATTCCTCTCAATCAGTGATAAGCAATGCATAGGATTTTTACTCAATTACTTATTCAATATATTAATTGTTGAAGTTTTCAAAGTTACATCAAAATGACAAAACTTTAAATTAAAGTTAATTTATGCCAATTTTTAAATTCTAGTATTAATTTTGCAAAATTTCTCAATAATTAGATATCATATGAAATTATTTTAAATATATTATTATCAAAAACAAGATCTTATGATATATTTTAAGATCTAACATTAATAATTAGTTTTATATAATTAATTTTAATAATAATGTTTAATATATTTTATATATATAAATATTATGCAATTTTGAAATAACTTAATTATAATTTTCAAATTAAACAATCAATATAAAAATTAATTTTCTAATCTATTGTGAAACAATTATAAAAAAATAAAATAACAATTATAATTTTATCTGTAATTTATTTATTTAGAAAGTCAACAAATGCACAACTTTTAAATGTTTTAAAATTTAAACTGAAATCATAACAATAGCAATAATAGCCATTAATGTGGTCTCAAATGATACACAAAATTGATTCAATCTATAACTTGTCTAATATTCACAACCGTGTGATAAATAATTCAAATGTTTTGATGACTAATTAAGATAACATCATATTTTTAAACAATACATCTATAAATTATTAATTCAACATGGTCATTCATTATAAAATAATGTACATTTTAATGCTTTATAATATGAACAAATTCATATTAGTTAAGTAATTTTTAAAAATATATTATTTATATAACTAATACTATTAATACTATATATTTATTTAAAACAGTATCCTTAAAAACATGTCTTTTTAAACTTTTTATTTTTGAATGTAATATAGTATTTATTAAATATTTAATAAACAATAGTTTGACACTAGAGTCTTAATATACTGTAGCAAAAAATACTCTATAATTAGTAGTGACTTTAGATATATGTGACTAAAATTAGTGTTTTATTGAATGAAATATTTTCTTAAAATAGTCAAAATATGTGGTTATAATTACTTTAAAGTCAAAATATGTTATTATATTTAATAAAAATTTAAAAATTGTGTTACAATTAATGATAAATTAATATTTTATTTTTTCTTATTAATACTTAAATACATAAATTAAAATTATATAATTTTTAAACTCTTTGTATAAATTAAAATCAATACAAATAAATCTTTAAATCTTATTGTCTTTTAGTAAACATTAGAAATTAGTAGAATTTTAGAAAACATATAAATATTATGTTACAGTATTTGTCTAAAATTATCAAATATTAATAATGTATAATACATTGCATAAACATAAAATGCTTGTTATTTATTTTAAAATATTGAAAACAATAATACATATCAAGCATTAAGTTTGAGTGAAAATTTTGACGTCATAGTATTGTTTGAATTCAAAATAATAATATACTGTATATATATACAGGGGTCCTCAAAAATTTTTCTCCAAAATTAGATAAACTTAATATAAATACATCAGGGTTAAGCAAGGTTTTGGATTTTAGGGGGGGGTAGACCGGGGTAAAATTTACAAAATTCTCAAAAAATCTTGGGGGGGGGGGGTATTGGGTGGGGTAAGATTTTTATTGCATTTTTAAACGGCAATTTTTTCAAAAATCCAAAATCAAGGGGGGGGGGTCTAGAGAAAATTCCCTAAAAATTCCTTAAGTTCCCGAATATTCCCATGTAAATTCAATAAAATTCCCACAAGTTCCCGTATAAATTCCCGGGAAAATAGGTAAAATTTCCAAAAATATAAAAAAAAACTTAAAAAACTTAAAAATTAACAAAAATTTAAATTTTAATAAAAAATAAATATTTTTTAAAAAATTTTTTTTAAATTAATAAAAACTTAAATTTTAACAAAAAAAAATAAAATAATGTATTTAAGATTTAAAAATAGTTGATAAAAGCATTAATGATACACTATGAGTTATTTTTAGTATTTTAATAATTTTTAACTTTTAACATAATTAATTTTTTAAACAATACTTAATGTTTATAGTTTGTTATATATTTTTATTTTTATACAAATACTGACTGAATACTACTTATTTAACTCAAATTTCGTTAAAGTTTAATTATATTAAGTACAAAATTGAAAATATTTTTAAATTTTTTATTTAAAATTTAAAAATTATTAATAAAAACATAAGTATTTATTGTTTTATTAACTTCTTAAACTTATATTTAAATTGTAATATGATTACTCTTTTCAACAAATAGGTAATTTTTAATTTTTTAGTTTATTTTAATTAAAATAATGTTATTTTTTTGAAGACTTTTAACGTTATTTTAACTATTTTTAATCAATAATTAGATTTTTATAAATATTAAAATTACCCTTACCCTTACCCCCCCCTACCCCCCCCCCTTACTTAACCCTGAAATACATATATTTTATTTATTGTAAAAATTTTATATAAATAAATAAATAAAAGTGTTATAAATATTTTAATTATTAATCGTGTTAAAAAAATAACAATATATCATAAATAAAATACATAATATTTTAAAACGAAAAATAATTAAACGCATCATTATCATTATTAATTTCCTCAGTTTCTTCAATATTGTCATCAAGTTTAGCTTTTTTGTTTTTATCTAAAAAAATTAAAATTGTTAAGATCAGTAAAAAATAAAATAAAATAAAATTACCAAAATTTCTATCAATTTCTGCGTTTGTATGTAATAAAGCAAATTGTTGAGCTATATTTAATGCATCAAAATCTTTTAAAAATGAACCGTCGATTTTAATTTATAAAATTTTTACATAAAAATAAAATATATGTATTTATATTAAATTTATCTAATTTTGGAGATAATTTTTTGAGGACCCCTGTATATATATATATATATTATTATTTTGATTTCAAACAATACTATATGACGTCAAAATTTTCACTCAAACTTAATGCTTGATACATATACTAGAATAACATAAGAAAAATGTATTTTAACTATTATTTTCCATTATATTATAGTTATATGCAAAATATGTGCTTATATTTGATAATATGTGATTACCTTTAAAAATATGTTATATGTGTTTATGTGACTAAAACTTTTGCCATAATAATCAGTTTACAATCAATTGCTTATATATCTAATTATTTTGTTAATATCTTTAATCACTTATTAGTAATTATTAATTAGTTAAAAAATAGCTAATAGTGAAAATACATTACAAAATAGTAAATTTACGTAAAAATGTACTTATTGTATATTTTAAGAAATAATTTTTTTATTAGTTTTGATTTTACGATCAATTAGTTCATTTTTATTGATTATTTTTAATAAATAAATTAGTAAATAGTATTTATCATACATTTTAATATATTATTTGTATGTTTTAGTAAATTATTATTTGGTACAACATATCTAAAACTTTAATAATTATTTATAACTTACAGTACATATATATACGAGTAATAAGTTTATATGTTCCTCACAATCAATAATAAATAAGATATTGATTAATATATCTTTTATTTTCAAACACTTGTAATATCTATTATTTTATGTATTTGTTAATAAAAAAATGTATATAAATAGTGTAACAAATGAATTAATTTATTATTTTATATCATTTACTTTGCAAAAATGTCTTTATTTAAAACATCAATTGTTTTGGTTTCACTATTATTTGTGTAATTAATTTTATATTTATTTATTTATTATTTATATTAATTATTAATTAAATAAAACAAAACTATTTAATGTATTTTTAGGTGCATAGAAGCGCACTTACGTGATAAGGCTAAACAAAAATATATTGGGACAGCACTGGCAGCACATGCACTGTCCGATCCAGAGTACAATCAGATGGCGGGCGCAGAGTTTAATAGTGCGTCGCCTGAAAATGAGATGAAATGGGCGGCACTGGAGACCAGTCGCGGACACTATAACTTTGGTGACGCCGACAAACTTGTCGCTTACGCACAACAACACGACATGAAAATGCGTGGACACACCTTCTTATGGCACCGGAGGATACCGGCCTATGCAGAGGCACTTCATGGAAATAAAGCAGAACTCGAGAAAGTAGTCAAAGAGCACATCACAAAAGTTGCCACACATTTCAAGGGTAAGATATATGCCTGGGATGTGGTTAATGAAGTGCTCAACGAAGACGGATCGGGCAATAAGTTGAGGAAAGGCCTATTTTTGGATACATTGGGTCCGAGCTATGTTGAGGAGGCTTTCCGTACGGCACACGCAGCTGATCCAAACGCCAAACTCTATATCAATGATTACGGTATTGAAGGCAAAAACAAAAAGAGTGATGCCTTGTATGAGTTGGTAAAAGAGTGGAAAGCAAAAGGTGTGCCCATACATGGTGTGGGAGTTCAGGCCCACTTCAGAGAGGGTGGCGTTGCCTCCACATTACACGAAAATTTGAAACGATTTGCTGATTTAGGCTTAGATGTAGCCATAACTGAGCTGAATATAAGATATAAGCTACCAGGGTCGGCAGATAAAAAGGCTAAACAAGCACAAGACTATGAAAAGGCATTCTCCGCCTGTAAAACCATTCCTCGATGTGTTGGCGTTACGGTCTGGGGATTCACTGATAAATACTCAAATATATTTGATAAAGGCTATGGGGAACAGGAGCTCTGGGATCAACATTATAAACCTAAGAGTGCTGTGAATGCGGTTGAAAAAGAACTCATATAAAAAATAGATGACTTGAAATCAAATATATGATTTTATATAAAAACTATTTTGTAAATTTTTATTAAATAATAAAATTTTATTGTAATTGTTTATATTTGAAAACTTATTTTATTAAAAAATTATAGATATTAATTTTATGTTTAGTTAACAAAAATGTTTTAAAGATTTCAAATACATTAAATAATATAATCTATTGTTTATTTTATTGAAGAAAATTCATAATTACTATTTATTAAATTTACTATAAAAAGATTATAATTATAAATATAGAAAAACTGTATATTTTATTATTAATTTTAAAAATTGAATTAAATGTGTTATTTTACTCGCATTTTAAATAGTAACATGTAATTTAACTTATTTTTAAAGTATTAAAATTATTATTAAATAAAATATTATTAAAAATACTGTGTGACATTATTTTAAAACTTTAAGTTAAAGTTAAACATAATAATTTATTATAAATTTTAAATTGTCAATTATTAGCAATTGTTATTTAATAACTAAACACTGTACAATTAATGTATAATTATAGTACTATACCTAAAATATTATAAAAAAAAACTATTAATAAACTCTAAATTTATATTTAATTATATTTAATATCTAATTTATATTTAATAAACTCTAAAGTACTGTACAAGGTTAAATTTTATTATATGTAACATAATAAATATTTAATTATAAATCACTAAATCAAAAATAAATTATAGAATTATATTATGTAACAAATAATATTTTTTTACACTTAATTAATTTAAAAAATAAAAATAATACATTTCTAATTGTAACTAAATATTAAGTAGCATTTAAAAAATGTATTACTTTTAAATTACTTTTTATTTGTTTATACTAAATTATTACTTAAATGAATTGTATATAATATAATAAATACGTACTATATATTATATGGGGCATCAGTTTATAACTTTTTAATATTTGTTTTATTATAAATTATTGATTTGTGTAATATATAAAAATGATTTTTAAACTTTTGATTTAGTTCACTGTGCATACAATTATAAATGCAATAACATGACTGAACACATAACTATTATTAAATAAAACTAATTGTTAAAACTAAAATACAACAAAATCATAACATAAAAACAGATGTTTTATTTGAAAACATATTATTTAATAGAAAGTATATAAAATTTATTTATCGCAATGAAATATTAAAATTCTTAATACTAATGATACAAAATTAATTAAAATTGTAATTTTATGACAATACTAAAATATTTTATTATATTTTGTAAAATTTAATAATGTGTGTTAATATCAGTTTAAGTCGTCAATTATATATCAACTAATTTATTACAATCATGTTAATAAAATTGTCAAAATTAGATTTTTATTTATATTGTTATACTGGAATATTATTATTCGAGCATGCTGCATTTGTAAGTATAAATATATTTTTATTAATTTACATAATTATGAAATGTATCATTTGTTTATATTATTAATAATTTTTTTTATTATTGTATATATTTCTAAAAAAATAAACAAAACAATTAAATATTAAATAAATTTATTTTATTTATTATATTAAGGCATTGGGTATATCAATACTCGGACCTACTTATGTTGACCTAACATATGTGTTAAACACTTCCATACAAAACATTTCGCAAATTGCAATATTCTTATGCATTGGAAATATTTTGGGCACTTTATGTAAAAATATAAAAATAATTATTTAATTATTCATTTTTTAGTTTATCTTAATTGTTATTTATTTGTAATATATAATTATTGATAATTTTGTATAATTAGGTGGATTACTATTTACAATATGCAATCGACAATTAATTGTCATATTATTTATGTTGGTAATGGCAGCTAGTACAATTATTATACCATTGACAACACAGTTATGGCAAATATATACCTGTGCATTCATATTTGGTTTGGGGACTGGTGTGTGGTTAGCTGCCTATTACACCTGGATAATTGAGATATGGCAGTCCAGATCGGGTCCATTAGTGTTTTTATCACAACTTATGTATGGAATTGGTTTTGTTTTTGGACCCATTTTAGACAAACCATTTTTGACGGGAGATATCAATGACAGGAGAAATGAGACACAAATGGACAGATCAATAGTTATGATAGACATAGAGAAGCGCAAATCAAAACTAATGGTACCATTTATAGTCAGTGGAGGACTACAAGCACTTTGTATAAATAACATATAAATAGTACAGTAATTTTTAATGTAATTGTTATTTATATTATCTAACAGTTCCTCTATTATTGATAATAATGTTTATCATAAAACCTTACGAAAAACCAAAGCAAGAGATCATTGAAAGTACTGCTAATAGTAATACTAATAATAATGGATCGGTTATTAAGCCAATGGATGGCAAAAAGTGGACCAAATATGCGACAATAATATTGATGACAATTAGTTTATCATCTCTAAACACATTAGAAATTGTATATTTTGGTTTGGGACCCACCTATTTTCAATATGTACCAGCAGGACTGGGAGCACCTACAGCTGCGGCTATCGTATCTGTGATGACAGCCTGTTATACTATTGGACAGGCCTTTAATTTTTTCATAACAATGACTGTTAAACCTATTTATATCATATCATATCATTATGTCATAGCATTTATAGTAATAATTTGTCTTATATTTGTTCAAAACTCTGAGATAGGGTTATGGATAATGAGTGCAGCCATAGGACTGGCTATTTCAGCTCTATTTCCGGGACACATGACTTTCTTTGAGAAATATATTAATATAACCGATAAAGTATCGACTTTTATGTGGTGTATCTGTGGTGTTATCAATACAATCGCAGCCCTTATATTCAGTAGTTWTATCGAAACATTTCACAATGTTTTCATTGTTATTGAAATATCAGTACTTATTATATCATTAATATCATTAGTTATGTTTATTGTAATGAAAAGGTATATATTAACATTTTCATACAAATGTAATAAAAATAATAAATCATAATTAAAATTTGATTTAACTAAATATTTTTTTTTAAATTTATTTTCAATTATCATGTATATAAAATTTAAATTCATTTTTTATACTAATTGTTTAAAAATAATTATTGATAGCAACGCCAATGATAGTAATGAAAGTTCAATAAAAACAAAACTTTTGGGATATTGTTCAATGAAATAACCGATCAATAGAGTCGGTACTGTATTTAAAATAGATGTCGTACACCATAAAAATGTTGATATCTTGTTTGTCAGCTTTAGGTGTTTCTGTATATAAGCCATATGACCGGGAAATAGAGCCGATACACCAAATCCAAGAGTTATACCTAATATCCAAATACAAGTCGTCGAGTTTTGAACCAATAGTAGGAACAGGTATGAGACAAATGCAATAATATAGTGATAGCCGACAATTGTTTTGGTTTTTAGTTTCATTCCGACAAAAAAATTGATGGCATGTCCTGCAGTATAACAGGCTATCATTGTAGACACCAGTGCAGCAGCTGATGGTGCGCTGAATCGGGCAGGTATGAGCTGATAATATGTGGGTCCAAACACAAACAATATCAACTCCATTGTAGTCAATGAGGACAAACAAATTGTCATTAATAAAACTAATGATGCTTTCAATAACACATTCCTATTGTCATCACTTCTTTGATTAGGTTTAACTGCATTTTGATTATAACTTTGCTTTGAATAATGTTTAATAAAATACATTATTAACAGTAGAATTGGGCCTAAAAAATGTATGTAAGAATATTTTAGATATCAATTGTAATCAATGTTTATATACTGTATATACATATATAATGACTAATACTAACAAATGGTTTCAACACAACCCGTTATGAGGAACGGTGTTATGAGTTTAGAGCGTCTTTCGCTAATAGTAATCGCTTGAACAGTCACATTRCCAACACTCGTGTCACCCGTCAGATAGGGTTTGTCTATTAGCGGACCCAACGAGAAGCCCAATCCGAGCATCAACTGTGCGCAGAACAGTACCGGCGCCGACCTGTTTCTCCAGATCTCAAGTATCCATACAAATACAGATACAAACCATACACCGGCAGCCATACCGAACACTAGTGATAAGCAATAGGTCTGCCATAGATGTCTAGTCAATGGTATCAATGTCACAGATATGGCGCCCAATAATAACAATAAACTAATTACTAATTGTCTATTTAGATGTTTGAATGTTAAGCCAGCTATTAAGTATAGTAATATACAAGATAATCATAAAAATAATAAATTAATAATATATAATAACTACATTAAAATACCAAGTGTTCCCAAAAATTGGCCAATTGCTATAAAAATGGAACAGTATGATATATTTTGTATGGATGTTTCAAGTATATAGGTTAGGTCAACATAAGCAGGTCCTATTGTAGAAGTTCCCAATGGCTATTATTTAACAATTAAAAAATTATTTTATATATAAATAAATAATATTTAAAATTACATTACCGTAGCTAAATGACCAATTAGCAATATTGCTGTATAAAAATATAAATCAATATTCATTTTAAAAATTAGATTATGTGAACATTATTTACAAAATTTATATTTTCACTAATTTTTATGTTTTTATTTATTCAATTTTTGTCAAACAAGAAGGTCTGGTATATTTAACTTCAATTGAGATAATTTATTATATATTATATAATTTTTATTAAAGCATTTGAAGTAATATACTGTATGTTTAATTTTGTGCATTAATTAGAAAAACCTTGTAAGTTAACATCACAATTATATTACAGTATTAATTTAATATAATATATTATAATAATATTATACATATATTAAATTATTCACAAATATTTATATAGTTATGAAATATTTAATTCTAATTATTTAACCAATAGTATACCATTTATACAATTTATAATTTAGTATAGAGTATTAAATTTAAATAAAATAAAAGATGTTATGTTCAACAAATGATAAATACTTTATAACAGTTTAATTTTACTCATCATTTGATATAAATTTTAAAGTTATTATAAAATATTTGTTAAATTTGTTACGTTATATATTCATCATAAAGTTATTAKGATAGCAGTAGTTTTCAATAAATGCTCCATAATATCAATATTGTAATTATTAAAAAATAATTAAATTAATCACAATACAGTAAATGAAATTTAATAATATTTATTTAATTATTAATAAAAATAGTAATCATATAACAGTACAGTATTAAAGTTTTGTATTTCCAATCAATGATTTCAATAATTGAAGTCCAGCTTCCGGTTGATCGTATGGCACCATATGTCCGGCACCCCTGACTAACACAAAACTGAATCCTTTTTCGTAGTGCTGTACAAAACCACCGATCACTCCATCAGGCTGTCCATCAACAGTCCATCGACTAATAAATATAATATCATATAATTTATAATAAAATACATCTTTAAATATTAATTAATATCTATTTTACTAATACCGATATTTTTCTGTTTGAGTAAAACCCAATTTGTCGGCAAATCGTTGGTCACCAATAAAGTCGCAGACAGTATCGAAGTCACCGTTATATATAATAAACTTTCCGATCTTATATTTGTTGATCAGATCCAATGTGTTTTGTTCCTGTGTGGCCGTGTGTACCCTTTCATAAGGACCACCACAACCTTCCCATCGACGACTGTTTTCTCGCACATGTATTGCCTTTCGCACAGATTCAGTGTTCAGATATAGTGAGTGTCCGTAATGATAGCAATTGGCTTTGTTATCATTATTATTAAAGTCAACCTTAAAACCTATCCTATCGTAAGCTTGTTTATAATATTTATTGAACAGCTGCTGATAACTGAGATCTGGCGCACAGTTATCATAGATATTATATGGATTGGGTGTACTCACACTTGATTGTCGTACTGAAGCACATTTGCTAATGAATTTTAATTGTAAAACAATTAATGATATGTGTATTGAGATTAAGTATAACTTAATGATAATATAATAATGTATATATATATATATATATATAGTATATTATTAATAGAGTATAATACCTATGATTTGCGGGTTGACTAAAATCGCACTGATGTTCAATAACACCAGCTTTACATTCACAACAATTTTCAGTTAGTTTTTCGTACGTATCTGTTGTRAGTAAGCCATGACCTAAAGCAAAGTCATAACGGGATTGTCCAAAGTTGTCAAACTTATCCTCGTGTATATAACCGTTACCAATAGCCAACCCTTAAAATAACATAATTATTTTTATAACAAAAAACAATTATGAAAATATCATAATAATAATTAAAAAAAACTTTGAAAAATACCTTTTAAATTAATTGTTGAATTGTGTTCATAGATTTGTTTGGCTAACATCGGAATGTAAACTCCGGCATAACTTTCGCCGGTTATATAAAACTGGTTTTTCTTCAAATGCGGATATTTTAGAAAAAAGCTTTCGAGAGCTAAATAGTTATTAAGAGCTGTAGTCTCGTCATTATTATGAGGTTCGGCCACATTGTCTTCATAGCTAAATCCCGTACCGGCAGGTGATTCCATCCATAGTATGTTTGCCACTGAATTCCAGGCAAAGTCGTGTTTCTGTAATGTCTTTCCATCTGAGTTCACCCGAAACGGACCGTTTTCGGTAAACATAGCAAACAGAGAACTACATCCGGGACCGCCAGTCAACCATAAAACTACCGGTGCATTTGCCGCATCTTTTTCACTCTCGACAAACCAATAGAAATGATGTCTGCCTTTCGATGCATTTAAATAACCCGAATATTGTTTGAATTTTGTTGGCTCCGGTAGKCCGGGTAAGGATTTAATTTCATCGTCATTGGCCGCAATCGCCARCAATGACTTTAAATAAATTAGAGACAATACATATAACACTTTCATTATTGTTGTAATCARTTTTTGACTAAATCATTGTCAATATTTAAAGCTTTTATGTGGTTTTTATTTGATACTTATTGCAAATAAATAAGAAATTTAATGGGAATATAACATAATGTTTCAATACTATTTGATTTATAAATTCTTTAATAAATATATCAGTTTTTATTTTTTTAAAATGTATTTATATTTAAAGTTAAATATTTGATTAAAAAATGCTGTTATCTAGTTGTGCCACATTAATAAATATATACTCTTTTATACACATTATTATACAGTATATAATATTAAAGGTCATGTAGTATATGCTGATAATAAATTAATATTATATCCATTTAATAAAATGTATAATAAGGTAAAACTATTTATTTTATTAATTATAATACAGTAAAAAGATATGAAAAATGATGAAACAGAGAAAATAAGAAATAGCAAGTTTTAGTATCAAAATTAAATATTTTATTAAATATGTTATTTCTATAATGCTTAAGATAAATTAAAATTTAATAGTGAGAAAAAATTATTTTATTATTTTTTAATAATATAGTATATTATTTTCAAAAAAAACTTGAAAAGTTTTGTTTACTGAAATCTATAATGGCTTTTTGAGTCTGTCTGTCTGTAGCATTTTTTTTGCGAATTTTGAAATTCTGATTTCAGATTCGGTTAGAGGACTACTAATAATGCATTGAAAAGTTGCATCAAAATTTTGATATCTCTTCGGGAACATAAAAAAAATGGCGGGCAAAATTAAGAAATTTTTAAGAAATTATTTTAGGTATAGATTTGTATAAAGCATCAAAAACAAGCATAAGAAATATGCATTAAAATTTTGATATCTCTTCGGGAACAGAAAAAATGGCGGATTTGAGAAATATTTTCATGAAATTACCTTTATTTTTACTGTTTTAGATACAATTGTTGACTTATATAATAAACTGAGCATATTGTATAAAAATATTGCGTCAACATTAATATTGAGTCAACATTAATATTGCATCAATATTTAATAAATATAAATAAAGTGAAAATATTATTTAACGTCTCAGTTCTAGTAGAGCCATCGAATAGACAACATGTAAGTAAATTAATAATTAAATTATATATTTAAATTATATTTATAATTATTTAATAAAATTTATTTTTATTTTCTGTTTGTTATTTTAATAACTACGTCAACAATAATATTGCGTCATTATTTAATATTGTGACAACATTATTATTGCGTCAACATTTAATATTGCGTCACTAATAAATATTGCGTCATTATTTAATATTGCGTCATTATTTAATATTGAATCAACATTTAATATTGCGTCATTATTTAATATTGCGTCACTATTTAATATTGCGTCATTATTTAATATTGCATCACTATTTAATATTGCGTCATTATTTAATATTGCATCAACATTTAATATTGCGTGATTATTTAATATTGCGTCATTATTTAATATTGCGTCAACATTTAATATTGCGTCACTATTTAATATTGCGTCATTATTTAATATTCATCACTATTTAATATTGCGTCATTATTTAATATTGCATCAACATTTAATATTGCGTCATTATTTAATATTGCGTCATTATTTAATATTGAATCAACATTATTGCGTCACTATACAATATTGCGTCAACATTTAATATTGCATCAACATTTAATATTGCGTTACATTTAATATTGCATCACTATTTAATATTGAGTCAACATTATTATTCGTCACTATTTAATATTGCGTCAATATTTAATATTGCGTCACTATTTAATATTGCGTCATTATTTAATATTGAAGCAACATTATTATTGTGTCACTATTTAATATTGCGTCCACATTTAATATTGCGTCAACATTTAATATTGCGTCACTAATAAATATTGCGTCATTATTTAATATTGCGTCATTATTTAATATTGAATCAACATTTAATATTGCGTCATTATTTAATATTGCGTCACTATTTAATATTGCGTCATTATTTAATATTGCATCACTATTTAATATTGCGTCATTATTTAATATTGCATCAACATTTAATATTGCGTCATTATTTAATATTCATCACTATTTAATATTGCGTCATTATTTAATATTGCATCAACATTTAATATTGCGTCATTATTTAATATTGCGTCATTATTTAATATTGAATCAACATTATTGCGTCACTATACAATATTGCGTCAACATTTAATATTGCATCAACATTTAATATTGCGTTACATTTAATATTGCATCAAAATTTAATATTGAGTCAACATTATTATTCGTCACTATTTAATATTGCGTCAATATTTAATATTGCGTCACTATTTAATATTGCGTCATTATTTAATATTGAAGCAACATTATTATTGTGTCACTATTTAATATTGTGTCCACATTTAATATTGCGTCAACATTTAATATTGCGTCAACATTTAATATTGCGTCATTATTTAATATTGAATCAACATTATTGCGTCACTATACAATATTGCGTCAACATTTAATATTGCATCAACATTTAATATTGCGTTACATTTAATATTGCATCAAAATTTAATATTGAGTCAACATTATTATTCGTCACTATTTAATATTGCGTCAATATTTAATATTGCGTCACTATTTAATATTGCGTCATTATTTAATATTGAAGCAACATTATTATTGTGTCACTATTTAATATTGCGTCCACATTTAATATTGCGTCAACATTTAATATTGCGTCAACATTTAATATTGCGTCATTATTTAATATTGCGTCATTATTTAATATTGCGTCAACATTTAATATTGCTTCAACATTTAATATTGCGTAATTATTTAATATTTTGTCAACATTTAATATTGCGTCAACATTTAATATTGTGTCAACATTTAATATTGTGTCAACATTTAATATTGCGTCAACATTTAATATTGTGTCAACATTTAATATTGTGTCAACATTTAATATTGTGTCAACATTTAATATTGCGTCAACATTTAATATTATAAATAAAGAGAAATTATTATTTCAAGTCTCTTGTCAAGTCAATTACTGAGCATATTGTATAAAAATATTGCGTCAACATTAATATTGAGTCAACATTAATATTGCATCAATATTTAATAAATATAAATAAAGTGAAAATATTATTTAACGTCTCAGTTCTAGTAGAGCCATCGAATAGACAACATGTAAGTAAATTAATAATTAAATTATATATTTAAATTATATTTATAATTATTTAATAAAATTTATTTTTATTTTCTGTTTGTTATTTTAATAACTACGTCAACAATAATATTGCGTCATTATTTAATATTGTGACAACATTATTATTGCGTCAACATTTAATATTGCGTCACTAATAAATATTGCGTCATTATTTAATATTGCGTCATTATTTAATATTGAATCAACATTTAATATTGCGTCATTATTTAATATTGCGTCACTATTTAATATTGCGTCATTATTTAATATTGCATCACTATTTAATATTGCGTCATTATTTAATATTGCATCAACATTTAATATTGCGTGATTATTTAATATTGCGTCATTATTTAATATTGCGTCAACATTTAATATTGCGTCACTATTTAATATTGCGTCATTATTTAATATTCATCACTATTTAATATTGCGTCATTATTTAATATTGCATCAACATTTAATATTGCGTCATTATTTAATATTGCGTCATTATTTAATATTGAATCAACATTATTGCGTCACTATACAATATTGCGTCAACATTTAATATTGCATCAACATTTAATATTGCGTTACATTTAATATTGCATCACTATTTAATATTGAGTCAACATTATTATTCGTCACTATTTAATATTGCGTCAATATTTAATATTGCGTCACTATTTAATATTGCGTCATTATTTAATATTGAAGCAACATTATTATTGTGTCACTATTTAATATTGCGTCCACATTTAATATTGCGTCAACATTTAATATTGCGTCAACATTTAATATTGCGTCATTATTTAATATTGCGTCATTATTTAATATTGCGTCAACATTTAATATTGCGTCAACATTTAATATTGCGTAATTATTTAATATTTTGTCAACATTTAATATTGCGTCAACATTTAATATTGTGTCAACATTTAATATTGTGTCAACATTTAATATTGCGTCAACATTTAATATTGTGTCAACATTTAATATTGTGTCAACATTTAATATTGTGTCAACATTTAATATTGCGTCATTATTTAATATTCATCACTATTTAATATTGCGTCATTATTTAATATTGCATCAACATTTAATATTGCGTCATTATTTAATATTGCGTCATTATTTAATATTGAATCAACATTATTGCGTCACTATACAATATTGCGTCAACATTTAATATTGCATCAACATTTAATATTGCGTTACATTTAATATTGCATCAAAATTTAATATTGAGTCAACATTATTATTCGTCACTATTTAATATTGCGTCAATATTTAATATTGCGTCACTATTTAATATTGCGTCATTATTTAATATTGAAGCAACATTATTATTGTGTCACTATTTAATATTGCGTCCACATTTAATATTGCGTCAACATTTAATATTGCGTCAACATTTAATATTGCGTCATTATTTAATATTGAATCAACATTATTGCGTCACTATACAATATTGCGTCAACATTTAATATTGCATCAACATTTAATATTGCGTTACATTTAATATTGCATCAAAATTTAATATTGAGTCAACATTATTATTCGTCACTATTTAATATTGCGTCAATATTTAATATTGCGTCACTATTTAATATTGCGTCATTATTTAATATTGAAGCAACATTATTATTGTGTCACTATTTAATATTGCGTCCACATTTAATATTGCGTCAACATTTAATATTGCGTCAACATTTAATATTGCGTCATTATTTAATATTGCGTCATTATTTAATATTGCGTCAACATTTAATATTGCTTCAACATTTAATATTGCGTAATTATTTAATATTTTGTCAACATTTAATATTGCGTCAACATTTAATATTGTGTCAACATTTAATATTGTGTCAACATTTAATAT